ATTAAAAACTCCTTTGCCATTTTTGAACTCACCACTCCCATTGCTTACTTCTCCAAACCAAAAATTTCAGCAATACTCTCAAACTTGATCACCAATTTCTCAATTTCGTTCTTGTTTTCTTTCTCCAGGGTTTGTCTCTTGATCAGAAAAAAGAAAAAAAAAAAGACTGCACTGCGTTAGCTATGTGAGTTATTTCATCTAAAATTGTATCTTTATTTCCGATCATGTTCTGATTGTGATTACTTGTTTGATTTTGTTTTCAGTTTCAAGATTTTTGAGCGTTTTGGCAATCAGAATTAGTACTTTTCTTGTTTGTTTTTTTGTCTTTCTTTCGATTGTATGCCATCTGTTTTTTTTTTTTATTATTTATTCGATAATTTCTTTGAATCCCTCGTTTTTTCCATCTCTTATATTTCAATCTGTTTCTGTCTATCTTTTGTAATAGTCTTGGGAAATTATTGATGGTTTAGGGTGTATGGGGTACGAAGGAAAACATTTTTCGCAAAATGTTTTTCAATTTTACCGGTTTAAATGTTTTGAAAATATTTTTTTCATGAATTCATTTTCATTCAATTTGTGGAAAATATTTTTAAAACTCTTTTTCAANCTACCCCACCCCACCCTTACCTCCACCCCTCACCCTACCCTCACCTCACCCTAAATAAAAATATTATTGATAGTATTTTCTTTTTATGTTATAAATAAAGTACTGTTTTCATTTCAACAAATGAGTATTTTCTTTTTATGTATAATTTTTTTTGTTAAAAAAAGTACTTTCTTTTCATGATTTTTTTTGTGTGACGTAAAAAAGTATTTTTTTTCATTTAACAAAATGAGTATTTTCTTATTAAAAAACGGTATTTTCTTTCATTTCAACAAAATGAATGTCCTTTATTTTCGTGATGTAGAAAAAGTACTTTCTTTTTTAACCAAAAAAGAGTATTTTATTTTTAGTTATGGAGTACAAATGTCAATGTTATTTTTGAGTAAAAAGTAAAGCACATTAGTTCATTTGGGTTTGTGTGAATTTTTAGAAGAATAATTAAATTCTTGAATTTGGAAGGGGGAAGGGGAGCATAAGAAACATGGGGACTTGGGGGAAGGGGGTGAGGAGAGTAGCATAAAAATTATTTTCCTACTCTCTAACCAAATACTAGAAAATATTTTCCGAAAAAAGTTTTTCACTCGCCAACCAAACAAGGAAAAATAAGTGAATCATTCATTTTTCATGAAAATATTTTCGAGAATCATATTTTTCAGGGAAAACATTTTCCTTGTTATCAAACACACCCTTAATGTCTATATATTGGATTCCTCATATGGGTCAATCCCTGTTTTTGCATGAAACTATACGAAGACTAGTGAATTTACTCGCGCTTCGTGCGATTAATAAAAGATTTAAATAATTTTTTTAATACCTGTATATTAAAATTATATTAGTCATAAAATCTAAATGTATTAGAGTTCAAGTTTTAATCAATTTTATATTAACATATGATTTATATTTTTCCAATTTTTTTATTGGGGTTTTATTGTCAGATAGCTGATCCTTTTAACGTAAATGTATATACGTGATGCTATACCTATTTCTCATCTTTTACCTTTTAATCTTTTCTTCTTATTTTCTCCCTTACTTTCCTAACCATTTAATTTCCAGAAAAAATTGTCAAATATGAAAATACAAACTCAAATATAAATTACAGAAAATAGTCCAAAAAAGTTGACCTACTGATATTGTCGAGTCTCAACATATTTAATCTAGCATGAAAACATTAAAAAATCATGCATTGTTGACTCACTCATCAAAGGCGTACGTAGTGTTATAGTACCGGGTTCATTTGAACCTAATATTTTTGACGCACAGTATAAATTTGGTGTAACAAATTATTGAAATTATAATACATAGTGGGTGTGAATTCATAACTTTTAAAATATAATAGGTTCATTACTAAGAATTTTAAAGATTGAACCCATAAATTTTAAATCTTAGATATCTCTGTCCTCGTAATATCTAGTACTTCCGAAGTAGTGTTCTTTTTTATGCTAAAAAATACACAATGTCAAACAGTTAAAGAATACAAATAAAAATTCAAACGAACAAATAGGCTTCTGCTATGAAAATTAAAGCCTAATCTGTATTGGCTTTGACGAATTGCCTCATGTCCAAGCTTATGTGGATGGGTTTAAAATGAAAATGGAAAACGTGATAAAATTGTGAGTAATTAAAAAGAAGATGACATTGGTGAATATAACGAATAAACTTTTGACTGAAGAATTTTTTGAGGGAACTGCTAGTGGTGAAAGAAAGATAGAGAAGTTGAGGAGGAGAAATTTTATTACCGTACCCCCCGCTTTCTTTCCTTATTTTTCTTTTTCTTCTTTTCTTTCTCCCCGGTTTCTGTTCCTTTCTCTCCTTTATCTTTTTTTCTTTGTGCAAATTGGCGCTCCGCTCCTCTTTCCATTTGATCGACCAAAGTACTCCATTCTTCCAGATTTTCTGTAAATTCGCAGACTTATTTTCTTTGCCTTGCTATACAATGTTCTTACCTTTTAAAATGGTCACCGTACTTTTTATATAAATTTAATGAAGAAACTGTAATATGTTTTTATTTTTCAACACCACTAACAACATGTGCCATCAAAGAGACCAAGAATTTAATATTTATATATAAAAGAAAAACCAAGCACATGTAGTAGATGAATAAAATCTTCACTCTCAATATCTTCAATCCCTGCCAAAGCTCTTAGGATTTGACCATGTGTACGAGCCAGGGAGGCTTCTTGTTCTCCTTGGTAGATGTGCTTCTCAAGAAATATGTTGTAGTTCCTCTCCTTACCGCCATAAACTGAGAATACAAGAAACTGAAAAAGTTATATATGGTGTTCTAAGGTATTATAGAAAGCATCAAATATGTCACATTTACAAAAACACATGTATGCAAAGTTCAAATATCAAGCAACACAGAATAATATAAAATACTATCATATACTATTCCCATTTAAGGAAACAAAGATATGTTAAAAAAAAAATTAACATCTCCGTGTCCAACCTAATGAATCAAAAGAACAATCCATCAAATTAAACAATCACATCTTTATTTTAGGGAGGGAAAGAGAAAGCCTATATTCAATAAAGCCTTATAGACCTTCCCATTACCTACTTTAAATTTTGTTTGAGAGTACACAGTATAAAGCTTTATGAGTTGGATTTTACTCACTGCCGTGTGTCCTTTAAAAGTAGGAGTTACTTTTATTAATTGTTGCAATCTTTATAAATCCTTTAAATTGCAACTGTTGCAGCCGTTTTTAGATGAACACGACTGGTGAGTTTTTAATTATCATATTAGGAGAACATAAATAATACAATAGCAGTTATGTTTATTAATTGTTGCAACCATTATACATCCTTTAAAATTGCAATCGTGCTAATTTACTTAATCAGAAACAAAAGAAAATGGCAAAAATTTGAGAAAAAAGATAAATAAGAATCCTAGTCACCTCTCCAATTCCCTCTTTTATATATATATATATATAGAGAGAGATTGGAAATCAGATAGATGCCTATGTTCACTTAGAATTTCTTGTTGCCTTTCTTTTTTTAGTTTATAAATATTGAGCAATTTATACAAGACTTTCATTATATTCCTTCCTTTTTATTGGTGGTTTTCTACTATGTGATGCAAAACCGTAGTTAAGATGATAGGAGAGTTCATTTTAATATTTGGACTTTGAGTCAAGTTGGCTAGGAGATGCGTGCTGGGTACTATATGATACTGATATAATTTCAATTCTTTTATTACAAAGTCTTAGTCAAAATGCATGCTTTGACAACACTAGTTGTCTTTGTTACTACAATATAGATGCCGATTCCGTGAATTTTCTGCCAAATTTCCAATTCGTTATCCTCTCTCTTTTTAAAAAAATAAAAATAAATATTAATCTTAAACTGCTTCTAGCTATTGTCTTGACTTTTCGTCCTTATGCATGGGCGTTGGATAGACATTTTCAACATGGATTTCTCTGAAAGTCTCTTTTCTTCAACTTCTCTGATTCTCTCTCTATCCTCTATGTTTTTTTCTTTTCTTCTCCTCCTTGTGTAAAGTTTTTTGGTAGAATAATAAATTTCCTCTATTTCCTTCTGTAAATCTGCGGGCCCTTTCTCCCTTTTATGTTCATTGGCTGATTTTTTTCGTTTTGAGTTTAATCATTTATGTTAATAAATATTACTTGGGTGGAACTATGGACCAGTGTTATCCTACATATGGTTTTTCTGATTCACTAAATACTTCTATAGGAAAGTTATAAATTTTGGTTATCTTATGCTTAAGTCTTAACCTTCAATTAGCAGAATTTGTGTCCTTTGACATAACCATAAAAGATTGAATAGTTACATACTCGTATAGTTTAACAATAAATTTAAGAAAACTTGTTGACGAAGGATAAAATGCACAATCATATATTTATTCCAAATGTGATTAATTGAATGTGAAAAGTACCTAAATTGAAAATTTTAAATTTTTTTTAGAAGGGATTAAATAAGGATTTCTGAGAATTTATGCTTGATTTTGTTGCCATTTGTTTCACTCGAGTTTGCCATCATTGCAACTACACAAAATCTATTAAATTTGTGAAAGGATTGAATTTTATGAATTTACTATCAATACATCTTAATCAAAATAAATTTTGGAGATTAGATATTATACATCATGATTTAAATTCCGTTGAGAGTTTATTGGGTTAAAAGTGCCTTATTTGGATGAAAGTACCTACTATTTCTCAAGTAAACTGTAACCGCTAGGAAGACTCCTACGGAGACTTGACTTAAAGAATGACTGAGTGAACCAATGAAAATTAGCCACGTAACCCCCTCCCATTTCTTACTTATTGCCGAAGGTATATAAATTATCTTCTCCTCTTCAGTTTCAGTCTCCTATGCAAAACCCCACATACCAGTTTTGAACTCACAACTCTCATTCCCTCCGCACGGACTGACTCTCTTCTCTCATCTTCGTCAATCTCTCGTCTCCTTCTTTCGTTCTTTGGGTTTTACGACTGGTTTGTCTCTCTCTGTCTTCTCTCTTTTTTTCAAGCACTGTGTAAGTTGTTCATCTAAATTATGTCTGATCGTGTAATTGTGATTGCATGTGTAACTTCCATTCGATTCCTGGTCGTTTTCGCTATCAATAATTTCTTAATTTTGTCTTTTCTTGTCGTATTTCTGCGTTTCCAATGTGTGTAATCTGTATTTGATTCCCTTGTTTTCTCCTTTTTTCTGTGTGCTTCTAAGAACGTCTCTTTCATGGGTTCTTCTTTTTACGCAAATCGTTGATAGTTATAAACGATTTAATGGTCATCTTTATGTATGAATCTTGGAAGTTTATTCTGGTCTCTGATGAGATGCTCTGTTTTGTGTGATATTGACTTCTATAATCTGCACTTTGACTTTAATTTCTTGATGGGTTTCTGTTTCTCTTTTGTGTAAATATTTTTTACTAAATTTTCTTGGACTGTATACTTTCCATTGTATTTATGTCAACAAGAATTCGTGCTTTTCTGCCACACCGAACCCTAGCGATGACCGTATGAGACCTTTTTTTTTTAAATTAATCTTGGGAACATGATGCCAATATGTATAAAGTAAGTATATCATTTTCAAATTCTTTGATACAAAGTCTTTGTCTTTGTTAATAGATTCTTTGGGAAGAATTTGGTGTAGTACAATATAAGTGGCTGATTCCTTGAAATTTCTGCCAAATTCTAATCTTTATTATTTTCTCTGTTTTTCCTGATTAGAATTAAACAAGAAGAAGAAAGATAGTGAATTTTAGCAGAAATTTCAAGGAATCAGCACTCACATTGCATGTATATTTCTGAATTAAACTGCTTATCTTTGTCCTTTGGTCCTCATACATGCTGTTTGTTTGAAATTTTCAACAAGGGTTTGTCTGTATTTCTCGTTCACTTCAATTTCTCTCTATGTTCCCCTTTATGTGTTTTATCTTTTCTCCTCCTCGAGCAGAGGCTGTAGGTAGTAGAGTTAAATTCATTTACTTATGTTTTCATTATGTTTAAGGCTCTGAGATATTCAATTATTTTTCTTGCCTGTTATGCCATTGGATGACCTTTTTCTTTTGCTCTTCATCTATCAAGAGTGAAAACAAAGACTAGTCATTTGTGTCTTGTATTACTTGGATGGAACATGTACATCTTCCCTATTAGATTGGAATTTCTTATTCATTAAAAACTTCTCTAGGAAAATGATAGGGTTGTCTCTTAGTTATTGGCCAATTCTAAGCTCCTCTTATCTTATGCTTAACTCTTTCATACCAGAATTATGTGCTTTTATCTTACTTGCCACATGATTTAACAATGAAGTTAGTCAATTTATGATAATTTGTTAAAGAAGTACCAAAAGAGCACGTTTCCATCAGCTTTATTATATGTGATTTATTTGGATACAGTAAGAACCAAAATCATAACTAATTACTAGTAACTAAATTCAGTTTCCAGAGACATTTTCACGTTTTATACTCGCATTGTTGCCATTATCACTAGCTCACCCATCTTTGATGTGTCAAAGCACATTTTTATTGCAGTGACCAAATATTTTTCTTGCTGATATATAAGTAACCTATGCAATTGGGAATGACTATTTTGTTATTGCAGAAAAATGGAATTCTCTGAAACAGGCTATGACATTGCCACTGATGAATGGGACAATAATATTCCTGATAACTGGGATGATAATATTCCTGATAAATGGGACGATAATATTCTTGATACCTTCAAGGTATTTTCCTCAGCAACTAAACCTCAGAAAGGTGGACTTCGCTTGGTATGTTTTAGCCTTTTTGTTTTTCTTCTTAGCTCAAACTCTTTATGAAATGATTAATCTTCTTTTCCATGAAAGCACATAGGTCTCAAACTTATCTGTGAATTTTGCTCTCTTTACATATTTCAGGACAAAAGAGTAAAATAGGTACTCTTTTGTTTGATTTCTTGTTTGTTAAGGTATTTTTTCTTCTTAAGTAGATTGCGTACTTCCTTGGTCTTTTAAGACAAAAGTTATAATGGGCATATGATGTTATCTCCGAGTCATATTTGGCAAAAATATTGAATGAACATTTTGAAGTGGTGTTGCTTAGTTCTCATACGTTACCCTCTTCTTCCCCATTTTCTTTTATTTTTGTGATGATGAATGCAGCTGGCTCACCATTCATGCAATATACAAGCTTCAAGTAATAGAATATCTCATTATGTTTCATGATTAGCTAATCTTTAGTCCCCTCTTTTCTTGAGAATGGCATTGTCAGACCTTTCTGCTTCATAGAAATAATCTTTCTGCTTTTGTGTCTCCCTCTTTTTGAGTTTACTTTAGATGCTTTGTCAAATAATTACTTCTTCGAAGAAGAAACTAAACAAGTCTATGGGAACAAAATCTCTTCATTTTAATTACTATATACCTCTTTTGACAAGTCTCTCCTCTTGAACTGCAGTTTGCAGATTATGACTTTACTGCCACTTATCAGATGGAAGAGGAGAAATTTCCTGCACACATCATAAGGAAAGAGGACATGAAGCTCAAAGATGTGGTGAAGGAACATGTGCTCCCTTTCCTTCCTGCTAAATCGCTGATGAAGTTTAGGGCTGTATCCAAAGAATGGGATAAATGGATAGGTGGTCCCTTATTGACCTACCAACAAAGTTTCTTATGCCAGAGTTTTTCGGGCTACTTCTATCAAGATTCGAAGATGGGATGGGATCCTAGATTCATATCTCTGGACCATTCTGCAAGTGGAGTTCCCAACCCAGCCCTTCATTTCTTGCCTGAAAAGGTCAAGATCCTAAGCTCTTGCAACGGCTTGCTCCTTTGTCAGGGGTGGGACAAGTATTATGTTTGCAATCCTGCAACCCAAGACTGGAAAATGCTCCCGCTTCCTCAGTATTATCATGGAGCTGAACCAGCAGTTGTTCTTGCATTTGAGCCTTCTCTTCGTAACATTGAGGTGTATTATCATGTTATCTGCGCATTTCCTTTGCTTGGGCAGCCAATTATTGGCTTTGAGATTTATTCTTCAGAATCAAATTCCTGGAAGTGCTCCTCTGCATACTGTACTGAGTTAGAAAATTCAAGTCTTGTTGGTGGGGGGTTGTATATGAAGGGAGTTGCTTACTATGAGACGGCATCGAATGAAGTACTGGCATTTGCTGTTAAAGATGAGCTCCCTGCGATTATATATTTACCTACTATACCTATTGGGGGACATGGATCCTTGACACAGATGGAAGGTGAGCTATGCTACATCATTGCTTATAATGAGCCTGGAAATGTTTTCTTAATAGATATCTACCAAGGCATGGAAATGAGCTTGAAGCGCAGTGTTAGCATCAATCTTGGACCCAATAGGAGTTACACTCTAGAATACGAGGTACTACCCTGTGTTAACAGTGATGCTGTGGTGATTCGTGTAGGCAGCTTCATATACTTGTATCACCCCAGGGAGCAGAAAATTGAACGTACTATGATGAGTTCAGGCGATACTGGTCTTGGCAGAAAGTTCCTGCCCTACATAAACAGCCTTGTTACCTTACATTGAGCTGAAGGAGTCTATGTTCATGTTTTGTCCTTGCAGTAGAAAACCACTGCTTCATCTTCTGGTTTGAAGCATGTGATCCAAGAATTTACTGTTCTTTTAGAATCTCTGTTTGAATTCTGACTTGGATGTATAAAAGTAGAATGCACGGTGACGTTTTCGTTTTGGTAAATAATGGATTTTGAGTAAAAACATATTGAAGTTTCTTGGGATATAAGTGCTTATTCTCACTTTACTATCGCGCAATGAATTTCCTATTTGCTTCCTTCCTTTTAGCTAGTTAGTCAGCTATATGGTTGGCTTCTCTGAAACTGAAAGGGAGTTTCAAGAATTAACCTGCAACCATCAATTATGTGAGAGTAGTGGCTATTACCCTTTTGAAGCATAGCAATTATTTCCTTTGCCTTTGTTGATTTTAAGTGGTTACAGTTTGTTTTTGATTGCCTATCTCTTATGCCTTCTGAAGTGATTTTGCAACATGTTTTAGTTTGAAGTAATCCTTTTCCTTTTCCAGCTAGCATAATTTATGTATATAATGTGGCCTTACGAAAAATTTTATTTTGTGTCTCACACAACTGACACTAGTTGTGTGAGACCTCTTTTTTGTCTCACAATTGTGTGCGTCCCAGAATTTTGTGGATCCAGATGTGTAAGATATGAGTCCATAAATATGTGAGATAAAAAAATGCGTCACACAACGAGTGTGAGTTGCGTTGTGTGAGGCACAAAATAGAATCACTCGTGGCTTTACTGGTTTTTGTAATGCCTGAGTTGGTAGATAGATAGTCTTTTGAAATGTTTCAGAGGTAGACACTCCAGCGTAAATATAATGTCCCTTGAAATATATGTTGTTCTTGACACACAAAATTTTCCCTCTTCTTTAATAAAACCCAATCCATGAAATGAGTATGAGAGGTCGTATTTGAGATTTTCTTTGTCCAAATCTGACAAAAGGTTTTCTTTTACAACACTGCATTTTTTTGTGAATATGTGCGTTATGATTTCTTGCTCGTCTTCATAAATTAGGCATCTGTGAGGAAATATAATACATGCTCTACTATTTTTAAAAGAGTCTAACTATTGACTGTGCAAGAGAATTTTGAAAATCCACTGAACCTACCCAAAGAAAGAAGAATGAGAAAGAAAAACTGTCTTATTCTATCTTCCTTATATTAAAAAATCCATTTATTAGATTTCATCATACACGGTTCCTCTCCTTTGGAATCATAGGCGGGCCTAATATTAATTGAGGTTTACTTAAGTAAAAATTGCACGGGGCGTCCTATTTGGTCGCCCCATTTAACCTATACTTATTTTTTTTTAAATTTTGAACTTGTACCCACTTTTTAAACAATTTTAACCCCTTTCTCCTCCTCCTCCTCCCAGTAATCTTCGTATCTCTCCGGAACTTAACATTGATGTAACAATATCTCTCCTTTTGTGGGTTCACTCAATTCCTCAGCCATCTTACTATAGAACAGAAATTTTTAAAATTCCAAGTTATCAAATCAACTCAATAATTTTTTCTTGAAATAATTTCACGAATTGAACCTCAGTGTCATTACTTGAGCATTTTATATAAACATTTGTTCATAATGAACGTACTTTGTTATTATTAAATACAAAAGTTTTTTTATTATTATTTTTCCTTTTGCTGATGGATTGCTGATGGGTGTTGCAGTATTTGATTTGTTGGGGTGGTTTTTGTTTCTTGATAGGTTCAATGGGCTTGAGTTTCTGTTGAAAATGAAAGGGAAAACAATGATGTTTGTGGGTGATTCTTTAGGGAGGGATCAGTGGGAGTCTTTAATTTGTTTGATTTCAGCTGATGTCCCAAAAGCTCAAACGCAGATGTCTAAGAGTTAAAACACTCTAAGAAGGCTGAAGTTTGCCAGTTACAAACAAAAACTTTCGCCAGTTACAAACAAAAACTTAACTCTAGAGCTAAAGTTCGTCAGTTATAAAATAAAAACTTCAGCTCTCTAGAGCTGAAGTTCGCCAGTTACAAACAAAAACTTCAGCTCTAGAGCTGAAGTTCGCCAGTTACAAACAAAAACTTCAGCTCTAGAGCTGAAGTTCGCTAGTTACAAAACAAAAATTTCGCCAGTTATAAAACAAAAACTTCAGCTCTAGAGCTGAACTTCAGGCCCGACTAATAGAATGCTGAAGTTTTGCGTGATTGTCTTTGCTACTTCAGCCCCGTATGCTGAAGTTATGCGAAAAACGGGTACGCTTGTAATTTTTTTTGCAAAGCGGGCACAAGTTAAAACGTGACACAAAAAGTGAGTATAGATGCAAATGCCCCTTTACTTGACCTCGTAACAGGGCCGACTTTTGGATAAAGCCTCTAAAGCCCAAGCTTTAGGCCCCCAATTTTAGGGGGCCCCATTTTTTACTTTATAATTTTTTTTAATTAAGTATTTTTACTCTTATTACATATTTTGATAAAAAAAAAATTAAAAAAAGAAGAAGATATTTTTGTTTCTTAAAAAATGGGTTCCTAGCGTATAAATGCAAAATTTATGGAAGGAATCAAGTGATTATTCTTTTTTCTTTAGTGTTTTTCTCATTAAATATTATGTAAACTTTTTCCACTTCCTTTGTTGGTTTGCACAATATTCAATTTTCTTTTTTAATCTTTCTTAGATCTCACCAAACGTTACTACTGTTACAGTTTTTCTTTATGCCTCCAAGAGATCATATTGTTCCGGAGTTTTCGTCAATCAAGCTAAAGCCTATCAGAAGTATATTGAAAGCAACAAATATTTATTTTCACATCAAATTAATGAATCGGGTTCTTCTATTCCAACTTTTTAGTACTAGTTTCATCCACATTTATTTTTCTTAATATTTTCAATACGTATGCATATATTATCCTTTTAGTATTTATTAAAATTTAAATAAGCCAAATATAAAGTATGAATTCTATTATTCAAAACTTAAGGAAAAAAAAGTTGAATCTTTGATACAATTCCAAAAGGAAGAAATGATAGTACTCTAATTGATATACTCAATCCAATAAAAAGATTTGATTCTTTTTCAAATGCTTATATAGCATATAGAGTAATTGTAACAGTTTCTGTAACAGTTGTCACGGGTCGTCCTCGATCACAAACTAGAAATTTGAAAGAAGTTTTTTAAATTAAAATTTATAAAATCTTACTTAGGATCAACCATGGCACAAGAAATTAAAATGGATTAACAATACATATATATATATATATATATATATATATATATTAACAACAACAACAACAACAAAAAACACAGTTTGATCCCAACATGAGGGGTATGGGGAGGGTAGTCTGTACGCAGACCTTACTCCTACCTAATGCAGGTAGAGAGGCTGTTTCCAATAGACCCTCGGCTAAGGAAGGGCAAGAAGAAGAGGAAAGGAAGGAAGGAAGAAAGATGTAAGAGAAAAGAAAAGGGAGAGATAAAGGATAAGTAATACCAAATAATAGCAACAGAGAATACAATACATGAGGCGAACAAAACCACATAACATAATAAAAAAATCTAAGCATATGAAGAGACATGCATGCTACTAAGACTATCGGTGAACAACTACAAACTACCTACTAACATTCTACCTAAATCCTCGACCTCTACATCCTCCTATCAAGGGTCATGTCCTCAATGAGCTGAAGCAGCGCCATGTCCTGCCTAATCACCTCTCCCCAGTACTTCTTAGGCCTACCTTGACCTCTTCTCAAACTCTCCATGGCCAACTTCTCACACCTCCTAACATGAGCATCAATGTTTTTTCTCTTAACATGTCTGAACCATCTCAGCCTTGACTCTCGCATCTTGTCCTCCACGGAGGCTACTCCCACTATGTCCCGGATAGCTTCATTCTTAATCTCATCTCTCCCGGTACACTCACATATCCATCTCAACATCCTCATCTCTGATACTCTCATCTTCTGCACGTGGGAGTTCTTGACTGGCCAATACTCAGCCTCATACAACATAACCGATCGAACCACCACTCGATAAAACTTACCCTTAAGTCTTAGCGGCACATTCCTATCACACAAAACACCGAAAGCGAGCCTTCACTTCATCCATCCTGCTCCGATGTGATGTGCTACATCTTCGTTAATCTCCCCATTACCCTGGATAATAGACCCAGGGTATATTATCAGTTAAAAAATAACTATTAAAAGAAACTGATTATAAAATAAATATTCAGAATTTTGCATCTGAAAAAGCTAGAAATTTATATTTCAAATAAAATAATATGAAATTTTTATTATAAAAAATAATTAAAAGCCTCTTATGGAAGTTTGGCTTTAGGCCCTCAATAATATTGAGCCGTCTCTGCCTCGTAATATTTGGTAAATTATATATATATATATATAATATGCGTGTGTGTTTAATTTAAAAATGGTTGTATAAATACTTGGTTTCCTGATCAATTAAAGTCTTTATAGTGCACTACTTGAGCTATTTTCTCAAATTTCCCTATTCTAAGAGTGTTCATCTGTTGGTTTGATACGGCTTTGAAAGTTTTGGACTAGGTATTTTTGATTTTTAATAGTATTGATATTATACCAATATCCTACTAAGATATATTCGAAATTATTTGGTTTGTTACTGTTCGATTTCGATTTGTGCGGTTCAGTATTACTCTTTGTTCTATTAACCAAACTTGTAATCACGATCCTTGGAACAAATTTTCAAACTCAAAAAAAAAAAAAAAAAAAAAATAAAGGAGATCAAATTGAATCAAAATATTACTATTATAGAAGACAAATGTTATGGACTATCAAATTTAAAACGAATATATTTGCAGTCATTCAACAAATTAAATTTTGGATAACCATGTCTAATACTAATGAATCACACAATAACTAAATGGTCTAAGCAAATTCTTCTACCAGGACTAAAGATACACATGTATAGAGAGAGAGAGTAAGAGCAATGACAATTGTGAGGTAATCAGATAAGAAAGCACAAAGACAAGGAAGAGCTACAATTATGGAAAGAGTACTAACTAACTCATAATAATCTTGGTTCAAATTAGAGGTGTTGAAAGCCAAAGACCAGAGATTTGGCACAAGAAAGAGGAGAGAGAAACACCCTTCTTTTTAGGAAGCAAGTGTTGTTTGGGGGGTTGGGGCTGGGGAAAGGGGTAGACTTTCTTTGGAAGATGTTAAAAAAAAAAACACTCACACAATGCTAAGATTTCTCTCTCTATTCCATTTCACAACCATTCATTCTTGTTCTTCTTTGAGGTAAAACTCTTTCTCTTTGCATGTTTCTTTCTTTCTCCATAACTACATTAATATAAGAAGTACCTTGATTTAATATGCTATATTTTCATGCAAAAAAAATAACATTTTTCTTTCATTCTCATGGCAATAATATCTTAGGGACATTGAATTGTTGAGAAGAGCAGTTAACAGGAGATATTGAGTTTCCGGCAGGTGTGTATATATTATTGACATTGAATCTCGGCCGGAAGCTCAACGTTGGTGCTAAAAACAAAAACTATGGATTCATCTCCTGATACTGCTTCCTCCGATAATAGTACTGATTCTAGTTCTAGCAAGAGTAGCCCTCCTTCTTCAGATGGACCTCCACCATCTTCACCTTCTTCAGATTCATCTTCATCTTCATCACCACCGAAAAATGATTCTACTCCTTCATCTCCACCACCAAAAGATGAATCTCCTCCGTCGTCACCGCCAACACAATCTCCTCCTCCTTCCCCTGATGCACCACCCCCGAAAAACGATTCTCCTCCACCAGCATCTCCACCACCCAAAGATGATCAATCTTCTCCATCACCACCAAAAGATGATAATAACCAATCTCCTCAATCTCCTCAATCCCCTCCTCCTTCACAATCACCACCTGTACAATCTCCTCCGCCATCATCAAACACTACACCATCACCACCTGCTCCTAAGAATCCGTCACCTGTATTTTCTCCACCACTTCCTGTTTCTTCACAATCACCTCCAGCTCCTCATGCAGCAGCACATTTGTCTCCTCCTCCACACTCTGGACCCGATCGACCATCAGATAAACCACCTGGTTCCTCAGGGAACAACGGTTCGACACCTTCCCCTGATTCTGATTCCTCCTCAAATAATGTGGCTGTAATAGCTGGACTTGCCGTAGGCGGCTTATTAGTTATTGTGGTTATCGTTCTATGTGTATGGTGTAATAAAAGGAAGAAGAAGCAGAGATACTATATGGGTCCACCTAAAGGTTTGTTGAATAGTATAATAATTCCCATTTTCAAATATTTAAACCTTATTATTTTCTTTTAATTTAATCCTTCAACTCATTTTCTTTTGGATTTTAATATTGCATTGGTTTTGAATAATGTTTTCTTGTAAACTAGCATGTGAAGAATAACATTATTACTACTACAATGTTATAGCATTGCTCTCATTTTAATGAGGAATTCCAAAAACATAGATCTGAATAACAACTCTGTATATTTTGGGTTAAATTAGGAAGTGATCAATATGAAAATTATAACAGTCAGTGGAACAGACGTCAGTCTATGGGGGATCACGTCATGAAGGTACCGCAGGGTGAAATGGGGATTCCTCAAGGTGGTTGGGCTGCAGCTACTCAACATCAGGCAACTAATTCAAGCAGCGAATTCGGCTCAGGTTTTTCAGGACAAGCGCCAGGCCAAGGGCCATTGCCTCCTCAATCACCTAACATGGGTGGACTTGGTGGTTTCTCTCAAAGCCAATTCAGTTATGAGGAGTTAGCGAAGGCTACAGATGGATTTTCTCATGCCAATCTGTTAGGCCAAGGTGGTTTCGGGTACGTGCACAAAGGTATTTTGACTGATGGAAGAGAGGTTGCTATCAAGAGTTTGAAAGCAGGTAGTGGACAAGGCGAACGAGAATTCCAGGCTGAGGTTGAGATCATTAGCAGAGTTCATCATCGTCATCTTGTGTCCCTTGTTGGATATTGCATTGCTAATGGACAGCGCATGTTGGTTTATGAATTTGTTGACAACAAAACCTTGGAGTTCCACCTTCATGGTACATCCTTTCCTATTCAAAATGCCTTATTCATTCTTGAGACTAATTAGTCTAGCTAAACATTCAGTATTGATATTTGAAAGTCTTCTTTTAAAACCATCTTATAATGTGAAATCAGAGTATCCTTTACTAGTAATCTCTGAATTCCTTGTTGGAAGTTGTGTTCGGATCAATTCATTAAAAAAAATCGATTCAATACATTTCTTAATTCTATGCTTGTTAAGGGTGAAGTCAAATTTATCGTTGCAGGGAAAGGTCAACCTGTCATGGATTGGGAAACCAGACTTAAAATTGCTTTGGGATCAGCCAAGGGTCTGGCTTACCTCCATGAAGATTGTATGAACATTCTGCTCTCTCTCTCTCTCTCTCTCTCTCTCTCTCTCTCTCTCTCTCTCTCTCTCTCTCTCTCTCTCTCTCTCATTTCTTTCTTTTATTCATGCAGGCCAACATAGAATTATCCATCGCGATATCAAGGCTGCAAACATTCTACTAGACTACAATTATGAAGCCTTGGTAAAATGAGTCGCATTTTGTTTATGTATAAACTTACATTGTCATGTGTTTTTATTTTTCACTGAATATGTCAATGAAAATAAGCAAAATAAGTTTTGATTTAAGACCACGTAATATTGTTTAAGAATGATTTAATAACCATGAAATTGAATGTTTTTTTTTTTGTTGTTTTCAGGTGGCAGATTTCGGATTGGCTAAGCTTACTTCTGACAACAATACTCATGTGTCGACTCGTGTTATGGGAACATTCGGGTGAGTCATATAAAACTTCTATTCTGAAATTGGACAATTAGAAAGTTATATGCAGAAAGTTGGCTAGATAAGAAGTATCTAAGCAAGAAAATTACTTCGTAACAACATATTGCAGGTACTTGGCTCCTGAATATGCATCCAGTGGAAAGCTAACAGAGAAATCAGATGTATTTTCATATGGAGTCATGCTGTTGGAACTCATAACCGGGAGGCGACCTGTTGATCCTAATGATAAATACATGGAAGACAGCTTAGTAGATTGGGTTTGTTCTGGATCCACAGTTCCCACATCTCAAGCATTATGATTTGATCGTGATAAGATGTTAAATTATGTGCTTAGACTTTTATCTTTTGCTTTACTTATTGATCTAATATATGGCTGTATACAGGCTAGGCCGCTTCTTACAAGAGCACTAGAAGAGGGAGTATATGACGGATTGGTAGACGTGCGCCTTGAAGGAAACTATGATACAGATGAGCTACATCGCATGGTAGCCTGTGCTGCTGCTAGCATTCGCCATTCTGCTAAAAGACGCCCTAAAATGAGCCAGGTGTGATTGACCTAATAATTTTTTCACTACAATCAACATGTTGTAGCAGATAGTCTTCCTTGTTTTCCAGGTAACTAGTTCCACTTATAAAATTTTTGTTCTGAATAGATTGTACGTACCTTAGAAGGCAATGCATCGTTGGAGGACTTGAACGATAGTGCAAGACCTGGAAAAACACCTAGCTTTGCGGCCTCAAGCGGGGTGACCCAGGCCTATGATACTGCTATGTATAATGCTGACATGATGAAATTCAGGAAAATGGTTATGACAACCCAAGAATTCAATAACGGTGAACATGGAAAACCTCCAAGTGAGTAAAGACTCAACCCTTACTCTCCTCCTCGGGCAGTGACTGCAGAGATTTTGGTGCCTCGGGGAGACAAGAGTTATTAAAAGGAATGGAACTGCTGCTTTTCTAAAGGTTCACCTGAAGCTTGAGATTTTTTTTCCAAATCATATCAAATGGTTCTTGACTGGAATCAGTAACATAGATTTGAGATTATAACAATGTCTATGGTGTACATTTACTCATATCTTGATTTGAATAACAAAGTTTATAGGATCAGAACACGTTTATACTTTTTTGTTTACTTCAATTTGTACAGCAGTTCACATATAATTTCTACTGAAATGCTGAAAACCTTTCAGTTTATAATATAGTGATATATGCCTGCTAGTATATTATATTTTATGTTTTAAAGCTTTTTCCTCTGTAACTACAAAATAATTTATGTACCAAAAACTTGTCTATTGTGAATGATTTAATTTTTACTTTATCGGAGGTTTAGTGAGGAAGATTTCATTGTTCTCACAAAGATGTACAACAGTTTGTACCTATCAAAACAAAAAATAAAACTGTTGTCGACGATTTCTGTTACTACTGTTATTATATTTTGCTAAACAATTGCGGTCTACATGAAATATACCCACTAATAGATTAAGAGTTGGAGGTAATTCTACGGATAGTTATCAAACCAAGGGTTTATTGCAACATAATCATATACATATGCATCATTCAATCCTTATAATTAGTTACTAATTACATGAGAGCTTGTTTGGAAAGTCATCTAGGAATTGAATTTAGGTGTAATTGGATATAATTACACAATTTGGCGTGTTTGTCTCGCCAAGTAATTACTTGGTCAACATGTAATTAGGTGTAATTGGAGAGGTATAATTACACTCTCCAATTCTCGGGAGGGGGGGGGGGGGGGGGGGGGGGGGGGGGCGAGAACTTTTTATTTTAGTTTTAGTTTTTAGTTTTTTAGGGTGAGAACTCTTTATAACTTTTTATCTCCATTATTTTTTAATTTTAACTCCAAATCTCCCACCAACTTACTTTGTCTTCGTCCTTTTTTTTTTTCCTGAACTTTTGTCGCTTCCAACTCCAATATAAAATTGCTAATTTTGTTAGAATTTGTATGAATTTAATTGCTTAATCTATTTATAAGATATATTTGGTGATAAATTCGTAGAAAAGTGTTTCTTAAATTATATTTATGCATAATTCTTGATAAATTCTTGCTAATGTTGTTCGTCTTTTTTACCCTTTAAAAATAGATTTCACATTAGACAAAATCATAATTTAGTTATTTTTCTAATATTTTGGGCTTTGAAATAAACTAAAATTTGCTTATTGAATCTTTCTTTATTTGAATTATAAAGAAATTATATTTGACTTTAAAATAAATATTACTTGAGAGAAGTAAGAGGATTACATTCTCTTTTCCTTATATTTGATTATGGCGATTTCCATATGGAATATAGTTGACGTTCATTCTTGTTATAAGGCAAGTATAATGCTATGGGGAAGCTTCTATATATTGCTACTACATATTAAAAGGGAGAGGTTTGAAATTAATTAAATATATTTTTTCTAATTATTGAATGTAATTTTTAAATATTACACAAAAAATGATTGAAAGAAAATGTTGTTCGAGTAGGAATGAGTTCAAAAGTATCTATATTTTCTATATCCCCAACGCAAAAATAAATAAATAATTTTAAATACTGAGAATAAATTAGCAAAAGAATTCAACTCAATTCTTTTTTCGAGATCATCATGAGAGTAAAATTATTTTTCAATTTGATAAAACTCTTAAGGTACATAAGTTTATTTTCGCATGAAGAGCGTTGGCCACAAAAGAAATAATAAAATAGAGCAAAATAAATTATATTATAGTATTAATTCAATTTGTTATTTGTTTTCACTATTAAGTAACGAAAATAATAATAAATTTTATAAAAACGTTCTCACATAAATTCGCAGAAATCACAATAAATCATATAAGAACTTTTGTGAGGTAGATTCTTTTATTTTATTGGACTAGCTAAATTGGATTAACATTCATTATTTTCAGGAACTTATATCTTTTTCTTTAATTTTTGTTCAATAACTCGAACATATTAATTTAATAATAGTTATGTAATCTTTTAAAATTATATATTCATTGATATACGGTACACGCGCAAAACGCGTACCCTAAGACTAGTATATATATACATTCATTATTTTCAGGAACTTATATCTTTTTCTTTAATTTTTGTTCAATAACTCGAACATATTAATTTAATAATAGTTATGTAATCTTTTAAAATTATATATTCATTGATATATGATACACGTGCAAAGCGCGTACCCTTAATATATATATATATATATATATAAAGCGTCCTAACAAACCAAAAAACTTTGAAGTTTTTGCAACATGACTTAAGCAATTTGATCAGGGATTAAAGGAAAAAAAGGTAGTTAGATCAAATATTATTTTTATAACCTTCCGTGTGTTAGAAATTAAAATCTTTGTAAATCCATCATCCTGGTGCCAAATTTTAGAATCAAGTTGCCACATAAAATAAGTGCCAAATAAGCACCTTCATGTCATCAATATTTCAGACTATATGCAGGAAAAAAGTATATCCACTCCCGGTGTTTACCAAACTTATGAAAGCATATGATGTATCTTTGAAATATATTTGGCAACATACCTTACCACCCCAAAATTTGTCTAAGGATTATTAGTCATAGTCTTAAACTATTCGTGATCTTAATTACCTCCCCTCCCAACTAGGCCTTTTGAGAGCCATTACCCCCTAGACGTTGATGTGGCAAATTGTGTGAATGCACTCGCTTGCCACATGGATTTTTCTGTATATGTGGCATTTTTTTGAAAAATAAAATATATTGTTACCTTTTTAAGTATGTTATTTTTTTAGATAAAATTTTTTCGAATACAATTTATAATAAAACTTGGATAGAACTACATTATTTAGGCTAAAGTTTTTAATTTGGCTAAAAATAATAAAGTTTTAGTTAATCTTTTTTTGAATTTGACCTGAAAATAAAGATTTATACAATTGAAATAAAATAGCCAAGACATCTAAAAAGTTATAAAAATACATAGTTCGAAATTAATTATTTTGGCTATAATTTTTTATATAGCTCTAAATTATGGTGCTAAAAAATATTTTTTTACAGATTTTACCTGAAAAAAGTAAAAATACACAGTTAAAATAAATAGTTATTATATCAAAAGAAGAGATAAAAAGAGTGTACAATTGCAAAAAATAACTTACTCTATGGATACATTTTTAGAGCAATAAAAAGAAGGGCAGCCCAGTGCACTAAGCTCCTGTTATGCGCGGGATCCGGGGAAGGGTCAGACCACAAGGGTCTATCGTACGCAGTCTTACCCTGAATTTATGCCACAAGTATTTTTTAGAGAAATAAGTATGTTAGAAATAATAAGTTATTTCTTGCAATTGTTCACTTTTTTATTTCTTCTTTTGATGCAATGATTATTTATTTCAACTGTGTATTTTTACTTTTTCAGGTAAAATATGTAAAAAGTATATTTTTAGAGCACCATAATTCAGAGCTATATAAAAAATTATAGCCAAAATAATTAATTTCAAACTATATATTTTTATAACTCTGTAGATGCCTTGACTATTTATTTCAATTATATAAATCTTTATTTTTAGGTTAAATTCAAAAAAATATTAACTAAAACTTTATTATTTTTAGCCAAATAAAAAAATTTAGCCTAAAAATATAGTTCTATCCAAGTTTTATTATAAATTGTATTCGAAAAAAATTATCTAAAAAGGTAACATACTTAAAAAGATAAAAATATATTTTATTTTTCAAAAAAATGCCACATATACAGAAAAATTCACGTGACAGGCGAGTGCACCCACACAATTTGTCACATCAGCGTCCAGGGGGTAATGGCTCTCAAAAGGCCTAATTGAGGAGGTAATTAAGACCACGAATAATTTAAGACCATAACTAATAATCTGTGACAAGTTTAGGGGGTGATAAAGTATTTTGCCAATATATTTTTATCATTTAACTAGATTAATTGCTGTGAATTGTCACCATAATCTATCATATAACCAGGGTAAATTAATAATACCAATTCAAAATTTAACAACTCAAAATTAGATCACCTATTTGGGTCGCCCTGAATTTGACAACATTTCAGGCCACACCACCAGGGTATTCAAAATCGAATTGTAACGGTTAACCGAACCGTAAAAATGGCTTATTAACTTATTGACATGGGGTTATCGGGGTAATAGTTGTTGAACGGATTGAAATTTTATAATTAACGCATTAACGGTTTGATGGCAGATTACTCAATTTCCTTATCAGATAAATCGCTAACTCATTAAGAATTTTTATACTTATACTTTTACCCCTATGATCTTCTGCATGGTTTATCGGAGATTTGATGTCATTGTATTTTGCATCAAGGGTGTGTTTGGTATGAAGGAAAATGTTTCATGAAAAATAGTTTCCTAGAAAATGTTGGTGTGTAGAAAACTTTTACCGGAAAATATTTTTTAGTGTTTGGTTAGAGAGTAGAAAATATTTTTTTAGGAAAAATATTTTTTTATGTTACTCTCCTCACTCCCTCCCTCCCAAGTCTCTAAAAATTTACACAACTCCAAAGGAAATAATGTGTTGCTTTACTTTTTTACACTCCATAACTAAAAAAAAATACTCTTTTTTTGGTTGAAAAAGAAAGTACTATTTCTACAACATGAAAATAAAGTACTCATTTGATTGAAATAAAAAAAATACTTTTTCTATATCATGAAAATAAAATACTAATTTTGTTGAAATGAAAAAAAATACTTTTTTACATCATGAAAAGAAAATACTTTTTTGTTGAAATGAAAATATTTTTTTCTACATGAAAAAAGTATTTTTTATGTTAAAATGAAAAAAAAATACTTTTTTTATATCATAAAAAAACTAATTTGTTGAAATGAAAAAAATTATTTCTATAACATGAAAATAAAGTACTATTAATAACATTTTTTTAGGGTGGGTGAGGTGGGTAAGTGGGGTTGGGGCGTGCTACAGACGGAGATATCCCTTTTGACATGTTGATCGACCCA